TTATTGAGTTGTTCTTTCTGCTGCTGTTGCTGTTGTTTTCATTATTGAGTTGTTCTTTCTGCTGCTGTTGCTGTTGTTTTCATTATTGAGTTGTTCTTTCTGCTGCTGTTGCTGTTGTTTTCATTATTGCTGTTGTTGTTGCTGCTGTTGCTGTTGTTGCTGCTCTTTGCTGTTGTATTATTTTCATCAGAAGAGCTCTTTTTCTTTTCAGACAAAACGACAGCGGAAGCCTCGAAGAGCAGATCAGTCAGAAGAGAAAAGCCTGTAAGTGGGTGGTTGGCGGGTGCTCTGGTGTGGTTTGCTCGTTGTTTCCTATCAAACATCTATCGTCCTTATCTCCCCTCCTTCTTTCCTTTTTGTTTGTTCGTTTGTTTGTTTGTTGTTTGGTTTTTGTTTGGTTTTGGTAGTGTTTTTTTGTCATTGTTTCATTTGTGGTGGTGGTGTGCGGGGTTATTTTTCATTTGTTTTTTCATGTTTCGTTTTGTTTTTTTGTTTGTTTGTTTGTTGTTTTTGCTGTCGTTGGTGTTGTTTTTTTTGAGGTTATTATTTTTTATTACAAAAAATGGGTTGTATTTTAGTAGTCGCACTTATTAACACCTTCCTTAAATAATATAATGCTCTTATGTGTTTGGTGGGTGCTCTGGTGCGGTGTGCCCCTTCTTTCCTATCAAGCATCTATCATCCTTATCTCTCCTCCCTATCAGACATCTATCATCCTTATCTCTCCTCCCTATCAAGCATCTATCATCCTTATCTCTCCTCCCTATCAGACATCTATCATCCTTATCTCTCCTCCCTACCAAGCATCTATCATCCTTACCTCTCCTCCTTCATTTTTGTGTTTATTACTCTCTTGTCACACACATCTAATCTCCGACACTTGTGTGACTTTTTTCTGCTGCAAGTGCTGTAAAATGCTCAATAAATCTTCTTAGTTGTTTAGTATGGGGTTTTAAGGCGCTCGCAACTGCATTAGGTCATATGAGCGAAATAAACCTTTTTTTTAAAAATCTCAATCTCAATGTGGCTTGTAGTATAAAAGTGCATTGTTTCAAGCTGTGTTATTTCTATTGGCAGCCCATCGCTCAAAAGCCAAAACTTGGGGCAACAAGTGTTCACAGAAACAGCCAGAAAAACGATAGCAACAGCAACAACAGCAACAGCAACAGCAGCAGTGCAGAGGTGAGAAAAATGGCCTCTGGTTTCAGAATCTGGTGGTGCAGACTCTGCCAAAAATAGAGAGTATATATAACAATTGGGAGGACCAAGGATTTTTAAAAGATCTAGCGGCTTATGTACCAGAGATGAAATTTCCTTCAAGCTCCCCCCCCCCTCCCCCTTCCCAGGAGGATTCTTATTTAAAAAGAAAAGAAATTAAGATTGTTTTCCTTGACTTTTCGGTGATGGTGACAATGAGGATGAGAATGATGATGATGATGATGATGATGATGATGATGATGATGATGATGATGATGATGGAATGAAAAATTTACAATTGCAATAACTGGTCGCTTTTAAGAACAAACGGGCTAACCCAGATTTCTGGGGTCTCCAGAAATCTTGACCTACACCAAAAGTGGGCATTGTCCTACCTATAGGAGCAGCTTGGTTCCATTGGTGTGTGTATTTGTTTGGTTATAGAGAAAATTCTCCTTGACTTTTAAAGAAACTGAACGAGGGTCCAAAAACTTTACCTTTGATTTTCTCCAAACAACATTTTGCGGGATAGTCGCCTTGTGTTTAAAAGTGACCAATTACTGATGGTCTTCAAGTCTTTGCAGCAATTAATTTATGTTATTGTCCAGTCAACGATGGGTACTGTCAGAAATTCCAATCTTCAAAATTCTTCCATTTGAGACGTAAAATAAGTGAGAAAAAGGCTGCCAAAGTCTGGTAACTCCAATAGCTTGAGAGTCCTTGAAAACAAGATTTAAATTTTGTGCCTGTTTTTAATCAACTTTTTTCTGTAAAAATCACGTGGAAATGTGTTGATTTACAGTGCCTCAGACTGTAGTGTCTTTAGGCCATTCCCAAAGGGGGGACATTTCTCGTTCAAGCTCAGTAGAATTGTACATGGGCTGATTTTTGTCAGGCTCATAACTGTGTTGTAACTGCCCTGATTTGTGATTTTCACATATATTTAATTTTTTTTCAGACTGAAATATCTGTGGATAAAACAAAGAACTTAACAGAACAAGGGGAGACAACCAATTTGTGGGGGGCAAGTGGGTCAAGAAGACGTGGCACTATTGACAGCAGCAGTGAGGCAGAGACCGCAAGACTTCGTGAGTTGTTGGGGGGTTTTTGTGGGTGGGTTTTTGTATGTCTTTTGGGGGTTTTTGGGGGGGTTTTTGGCTGTCTTTTGGATGTTTTGGTTTTGGGTTTTTTTTTATTAAAGCGATTAGTCTTTGTGCCTGTCTATCTATTTGTATGTCGTTCTCTCTCTCTCTCTCTCTCTCTCTCTCTCTCTCTCTCTCTCTCTCTCTCTCTCACACACTCT